AAAAAACATCCTTGCATCCTTCTCAAGCCTTGGCTCTGAGAGCCATCGAAAGGCAAGGCACACCTGGATTGTGCCACCCGGTGCTGTCACCAGCACGGCCCCTTCCCAGGCCAGCATCATCATCAGCTGGCATGGCTCCAGAGTGTTGAAAACGAGTTGGGTGGGGAGAGGAAGCTTTTTGTCATCAGAAACGCCACCCTTAGCCCTGTCCAGGCACGTCCCAGCACACCGGGGCACGGGGCAGCCCACAGCAGGGCAGCACCACATCACCATCCCCAGCAGACATGGGCAGCTTGTGCCAGGGGTGATGCCCTGCACACCAGTGCACAGCCCCAGCTCTGAATGCAGTGCCTCCAGCTGGAGGCTGCGGTTCCACCCAAGGAAGAAGGATCAGAGCCCTCTAACCATGGCCAGCAGCAGCGTGCATCCTTCCCAGACACAGCCATACATCCCAGAGCACTGCAGGCTCTCATCCCTGTCGTTTGGGCTCTTCTGCAGGGAGCAGCCTTGGCTCTGCTTGCCCAGAGAGCCACAGTCCCGACCAGCAGAACCAACCTACCTTCAGGTGGTTGAAAGTGAGACCACCTCTCCCCCCCTCCCCTCCCCAGTCCTGGTCACGGAGCTGGTCCAGCAGGCGGAGGCTGTCCAGACGGGGCCCCTTCAAGGTGTCCACTGCTCGGAGCAGCTTCAGGATGGGAAGGTGGGTGGAGGATCTGGAGGAGGAAAGTGGGGTCTGGTGAGAGGGGAGGTGATGATCTGCATCCTCCCAGGGAGGGTGTACCTGCAGTGACTGGGTGTGTCTGTGTAGGGACCCCCGCTGTGACACACGCGTGGTCCCAGTCATGCATCACCTTGGCTCTACCTCCTGCACTCACCTCTGGCAGGGCAGAGCTGGAGAGCTGTGAAGTGAGAAGGTAGCACTGCTGAGCAGCTCCTGCCTTCCCAGGGCAGAACAAGAGCCGGGTGAAGTGGGCTTGTGCTCCCCTGTGTGTAGTGGGGAGGGCTGCAGGCTGCCCCAGAGGGGAGGCTGGGTTGGTCCCCAGTGAGGGGCCGAGCATCCAGCCGGACCATCTTGTTCCCAAAATAAATATGAGCTGGCCCAGCTGGCTGCTCAACCCCTCCATGGGGCTGGGAAGTTGTGCTGGCAGGTAAGAGATGTCAGCCCAGCAGCACCCCATCCTGCAGCCCACCCTGAGGGGCACCTCCTCACCCTGCTGCTGCTGCTGCCAGGTGCCTGGGCTTGGCTCTGGAGCCCAAGCAGGGATCTGAGAGCTGCCTCCCTCCACAGTCAGGGTCCAGCTCCTGGGAATCATTTCAGGGGGCTCCTTCAGTAGCATCCCCCCCTCTTTTTTCGAGCTGTGTGAAACCTGGCCGAAGTTTTTCTCTCCAACACAGGCAAGAGCGTTTGGGCATCATGAGGGGGTGAGTCCAACTCCTGCTGACGCGTCCCCATCCTTTCCCAACCTCTTTTTGCCTGCACCCAGCAGCGCTGCCAGCCAGGGGGCATCCCTGGAGTAGGACCACCCTGCCGAGCACGCAGCCGAGCCTCTCACCTCCAGCAGTGTGGAGAGGCGGGGACAAAGTGCGCCTCTTGTGTGGCCATCCTGAGGCTGCCTGCAGGGAAGCCCCCGTCGCTCTGCCGCCCCCGCAGCCGGAGCGGCTCTTGCTGCCTCCTCACCACAGGAACGATGTCAAAGCGAACGGTCTTCCAGCTGCCGCGGATCAGCAGGGAGAGCTCCATGGCATCTTCCCGCAGGTTTTCGGCACTGATGTCACCTGGATGCAGAGGGTTTGGCAGCGGTGAGGAGGTTACCGCAGCCGGTCCCACAGGCTGAACCGGGTACGTGCTGCAACGCCTGTGGCCGTGTCCCACCCCACTCGACCCACCCCTCTCCAGTGCTGGGGTTTGGTTGCAGTGCCCCTGCTAAAACCCCTCTCTCAGCCATGCTGGGGTGGTTTCACAGGAAGAAGTGTCGTGGGGTTCAAGGTCAGGCACAGCAGGAAGTCTCCAGCCATGGAACCGAGCTGTGCTTCTGGGCAGCTGAACACTGCCGAGAAAAGGAGTGTGGGCCAAGGAAAAGGGATCAGGAAACATCCATTGATTTTGGGGGGTGGAGGATGATGCAGGTCATTGGCTTGACCATGAAAGAAGGAAGGGAATGGTAGACTTGCTGGGATTGGGTTAAGAGACTTTCAGACCCACTGGTGCCCTCCCATCAGCTTTTCACATGAGCTCTACTTCAAGAAGCACACTGGGAGATGAAAACGCAGGAAGAAGCTTTTGGAACTGCTGTGGGTGTTTCCAGGCTCCCTTCCCACCACGCCTTTCCCAGGACACTGCTGCCAGCTGATGCCCATGGGTTCACAGGGTCAGACCCATGCCCCAGGGCCCTGGTCCCGCTCTGATGCACTCCCAGCTCACTCTCCAAACCTCCTCCAGGGTGCAGGGAGCACTGGGAGGCCGAGAGGTGGAGGGTGGGTAGGTTAAACCAAACACACCAAGCCCTACCTGGGGACTAACAGCCCGGCTGGGTGAGTCCTGCACTCTCCGAGGAGGGTGCCATCAGCCCCAGGTGACAATGCCTGAGGATGACTCTGATGCCACAGGACAGCAGGGAATAGTTTACATCTCCCCTTCCTCAGCTGAGGGCAAAGCCTACCCCAGCACACAGCGAGGTGCTCGCTGACCTGCTCCTGCCGGCTTTGGGTGGGCCACAAGCCCAGGTACCCACGTCCCAGCATGTTTGCACAGGGATCACGGCCAAGCCGGGCTTCCCAGCAGCACTGGAGGCAGCTCCCGGCTGGGAAGCGCCCTGCCAGCGTACGCACCTGGCTGAAGCAGGAAGAGGCGTCGGCAGCGCACGATGGCTGAAACAAGGAGCTCTTTCAGGTGCTGCAGGATTTTGCCTGGAATCAGACACCTCACACCGGCTCCGTGCTCCATCACATCCACCGTACCAGTCCAGTCCTCCAAATCAGTCCCTGGAGAGCACACTTCCAGATAGCAGGTGTTGGGCTCTGAAGGATGCCCGGCTGGGGTGTCCCTGGTCCGGCGTGCCAGCACACGCAGGGCATCGCCGTCGATACGGAGGGGTATCTCTAGAGTGACAGCGTCCTCGGAGGCACAGAGAGCAAACTCCAAGGCTTCCAGGTTTCTGGCATAGTCCACGAGGAAGCGGGGTTCCCTGGCGTGGACGGTCTCCAACAGGGTGAGCAGGATGTCCTCAGCCCGCTGGAAATGCTCCATCCGCTGCCTCTCGCGGGACACGATCACCCCCAGGTAGCTGTGCCAGAGGGAATTGTTGGGGGAATTGTTGGCTTCCATGGCAGCCCCGCCGCTCTCTCACGCTGCTCCGAGCGGGAGTAAAAATGCGTGGGCAGGGAGGGCAGGGCTGCGGGAGGGCGGAGGGAGCACAGCCTTGGGTGTTGACGAGCGCCGGTGCTGGGTGACTCCCCGGGCAAACCCAGGGCGGGGACTGAGCCACGCCCGGGCTCCTCTTCCGCCACTTCAGAAGGGTCACAGCGAGTGCCAGGGCATGGCTGCGGTCTCCCACACCTCTCTCGGCACCGGGACTGCGTGCCGGCAGCGCCTGTCACAGCCAGCGACCCGCTGTCCTCCCGCCCTGGCCCAGCTCGGGTCATCCCGCCCGGCTGCTCCCAACCCTGCTGGAGCTGGGCCGTGCTGCGGGGCTGTGGAAGGGCCCAGAGCAGCCCTGCAGGCCCAGTGCCAGCCCCCAGGCTCCATGGGGCTCCAGATCCCCAGGTGCGGGCAGCCCCCGGCGCCTCTGTGTCCGAGCGAGCCCGCCCCGCTGCACCGATGGGCCCCGCCCGGGGCGCGGTTTCCTGCCGGGCTGGGGGAGAATCCACCCGGGAGGAGGCACAAAGCGGGGCTTTCTCCCCCAGACCCGCCTGGGGGAGCGGCGGGGCCGGTCCGGCCCGATCCGAGCGGTCCCTCAGCCCAGCTCTGCCCGGGCCGCAGGAGCCGCCGTTCCCCGCCCCACCCCGCTCGGTGCATCCCGAAATGCCTGCGCTCGTACCCTCAGAGCTGCCCTCGCTTCTCCCCATCGCCCACAAACCCCGCAATGGGATTTCCAGGCATGTTGTCTGTCTGAACGCCGCCACCTTCCAGCGGTTCTTTGCCGAGCTTCACGGGCCTGAGCCGGAGCTCAGTGATGATGGCTGCAAGGCTGGGCTCTCCCGGCAGGACACGGCGGTTCAGCCACTCCAGGCTTTCCTGCAAACTGACCCTGCCCTTGGTCCAAGCAGGATGGGGATGGGGAAGCGGGGGAGGCTCCGTGGCAGCAGGAGGGGACACGGGGAGCGCTTCTGAGGAGGGGAGGGACACGGCCATGGGGCTCACACCTGGTCCTGACACCTCCTTCTGCTCACTATTACCCTTTCATATAGCTCAGATGAGGTTTCTGGATCTTCCCAGGATTATTTTCAGTTCGTCCTTGTGCCTSCTTCAATTAGGARCTGCCCTGCAGGTAGRAGTCTGTCCCTCATGGGCATCTGTCCTTCTGTCAGCCAGGAGCTCTGCTTTCCCCGAGAGCACAGGGTCAGAGCTTCCAGCTGCAGAGCATCCTTGAGCACCYGCAGTTCGAGTCACTGAGCCTGCAYTGGGCTTCTCACTGCCAGGAGGCTGGAGGTGCTCTGTGCTGAGGCGGGTCTCAGCCAGGTTTTAAAYCCCTGACAGGGGGTGATGGGCTCTGCATCTCCTCACCTGAGCCTTGCATTTTGGGTTTCACCCCTTCTGAGCAGGGGATGCTCAGTGCCCGCACCAATGGGTGTCTCAACCAGGGCTGAGTGTGCAGGTCTTACCCTCCTCCATCACATGGGGAACAAGCTGGCTGCCATCCCAGAGAGGGACCAAAATCAACAGACCCCCATGAGAGTGGCTTGGGCTCATCCTGGAGAACGCTGAACCCAAGCCAGGCAAGACAGATCACTGCTCCATGCCCTGATGTGGGATTAAAAGGGCAGAGAGATGCAGGCCACCACTTTTCTCAGGCTGGTAGGGCATGGCTCCCTGCTGGCAGGGTTCTTGTGTGCCCTGGGAGCATCATTTTGCCATGGATGGAGTCCCCACTGCGGCAGCAGCCAGGACACTCCTGTCAGTGCCTGGCAGGAATGCTGGAGAGGGCTGTGGGCATCATGGAGAAGCTGAACTGAGAGCCAGGAGTGGAGGTCTAGGGAGATAAGGCTGGGCAGGACAGGGGAACATGGCCTTTCCCCCAATATTTTGGTGCTGGTTGGGTAACCGTGCCCTTCTGTCACAGTGACTGAGCCCACAGTGTGACCCTACACCCCGCTGCCAGAAATATGATGCCAAGAAGAGCGAGTGTGATCCACTYRGCTCACCTCTGCCTTTGWCACCGGCACTTTTCAGACCTCTGGRCRCTGCAATCAAGAGGCTGGTGCTGCAAATGCTGCCTTCTGCCCCTTCCTGCAGGCTGGGATCTCTCCCTTTCCCCCTCTTTCCTCTTTCCCCATTTTCCCCTCTTCTCCTCTTCCCCTTTTCCCCCTTTCCTCCTTTCCCCCCTCCCCCTTTTCCCTTCCCCCTTTTCCCTTTTCCCTTCCCCCCTTTCCCTTCCCCATTTCCCCTTTTCCCTTTTTCCCTTTCCCCCTTCCTCCTCCTTTCTTCCTCTTTTCCTCCTGCCCGTTCTTCACCCTTTCTTTTTCTCCTTTCCTATTCACCTTTCCCCTTCCTTTACAACTTCTTCTCCCCTTCTCATTCCTTCCTCTACTCTCTACCAGGCGAGTACCCTGGTCCTGGCAGAGGGTGTGCCCTGAGTGACCTAATTACTCTGTTTCCATCTCAGCATTTTACGGTTTCATGAATTTTTCCTCTGTTACAAACAGGAGAGAGAAAAAAMMAMCCMAAAAATAAAGGGCAAACACAAGCAAGAGAGAGGAAAAAACCTGAGGTGATGGGAGGACTTGGCACGGCAGGAGTGGGCGAGGGGCTGCACTGAGCCCCCAGTGCCCCTCACCACTGCCTTTCTGTAGGACTGTGTGGTGTCTGCTGCACCCAGAGCCTGCAAGGTGCCCTCATCACCCAGCAGGAAGATATTGGGGTGCTGAGCTGAGGAGCTGGTGGGACACAGGGGCGCTGGGATGTGGGAGTGGGTTACGCTCTGCCCCAGCCCCACAGTTCCACACCCGTCAGCACTTCTGCACCCCAGAAGTGGCATGGCCCCCGACAGAACGGCTGGGATGGGGAGGGGGGACAAAGGCAGGGAAGGTAGAGAGGAAGAGAGAGTAATTTAACATGACAGGCTGTTTATTTTGGCAAAAAGGGTCTCTTTTCAACACATTTCAAAGCCCGGCCCTGGGGCCTGGGGGGACCACACAGAGGGGTGGGAGATGAGGGGTTCGAGATGGGGGGTTCAGTGGGGCACCCGGGCTGAGAGGGAGGGGGAAGAATCCCCTGCCTGTTCATCCCTGGGGTATGGCCAGGTTTCCAAAGCCCTGGGTGAGCTGGCACGGTCCAGCGGGGTGTCCCCTCCCGATTTTCGGTGTCCCCACGGGCGCCCGCACGCACATGCTTGCCTACACGCATCCGCACACATTCGCACGCTCCCCCTGGCCCTGCTCCTTCCTCCAGGCCAGGGCTCAGCTGGAGTTTTGGCTTCCCCCAGCAACGTTTCAAAATAGGCTGTTTACTAAAAAAAAAAAAAAAAAAAAAAAAAGGAAAGGGAGAAAAATCGCTAGGAAAGAAATAATTATTATAATCACATTAAGAGCTTTGGCTGTAAAACTCTTGTGAGGGCGCAGGGAAGGAGCTGGGGCTGCTCTCTGCAGGGAGTGCAGGGGGTGGTTTTCCTGCCTTGTGCTCTTTTATTTTCCAGTCCTGATCCAACAACACCTCCCCTCCTCCCCTTTTCCTCCCCTTTATCCTGGGAAATGAAAACAATTTATTTAATGATGGATCGTCCCTTTCTCTGGTCACTGACCTTCTGGGTRAATTTCTGCTGAGCTCGGTGGAAAACTCGAGGCTGGGTTGTGGATCCCATCTGTGGATGGGGGAGGGGGGGAGCTCACCCTTATCCTTCCCCAAATCCACAGCAACAATCCTGGGGAGCAAAGATGGGCTGGCAGAGAGGGTCCGTACCGGCAAGCCCGGCAGCAAACTCTGCTGCAGGCACTGTCCCTGCAGACCGGCAGCTTTGGGGGCAGATATGGGGGCTCCAGAGCCCTGTCATCCCTTCCCCTTCACTCCTGGATGACCCTCAGGGGTTCGCGGCGCCTCTCCCCGATCTGCTGCGATGTGCGGGGCTGGGCTGGGGTGCAGTGCCGGGGTGGGAATGGAGGAGCGATCTCTGCCCTGYCACCGGCCCGTGCTGCCCAGCGGGGCTTTCCTGGCTCTGCGGGGAGCGGAGCCGATCAGGGACGGGGCAGGACTGTGTGGGGCAGCGTGGGGCTCCCACAGCAGCCGGCAGGGTATTCCCGCAGCGGGYGGAATGGCCTCTGACCGCTCCGCTGCTCGGCCGGGGTCTGCTCCCTGGGGAGAGCAATGCCGGGGAGTGAGGGACCAAGGCAGGATCGCAGCCACCTTGGGATGGGTGGGAAAGGCGCTGTCAGCACTCAGCACGCATTGCCCYGGGGCCCCAGGCATGAGAGCAGCCCTGCATCCCCCACCGGTCCGGCCCAACCCCCAGCTGACCCGCGGAACCGGGATGGAGCAACCCAGCGTCCAGCCCCCTCCCCTCCGGCCCTTCATCTGCCGTGGCCTGTTGCTCAAAGCATGGTTCTTGTAAAAATGCGTAAATATTTATACAAGAATAATTTAAAAAACATGCTCTGTCAAATAATCAAAGCAGCAGAACATCCGAGGAGCTTTCAGCTGGATTGGGAAATCCGGTGGTGCTTCCCGAAGCTCCGCTGCAGTGCTGGAGGTGTTTGTAGCCAGCCCCGGCCTCGTGTGATGCCGGACTCGCCAAAGCGGGTTAGCAACAGGTCTGAGGTCTTCATTAAAACCGGTGGCAGGTTGGCTTTCACTTGCAGTAACCCAGCTGCCTGCTGCAGGAGCCTCAGCCAGGGGCAGGACCTCGCCAGGCTCTGGTTTCAGCTCATGTCCCGGTTTTGGCACTGTCCCCTGTGCTGGGACTGCCAGGGATATTCCTGGTGAAGTGCCGTGTCCCCATCCTCCGCTGAGATATGTGGTGAGGCCAGGGATTGGTGTGGGGAGTGACCCGGGTGCTATGGGGTTGCTGGGGCACTCCCTGAATGCATTCCCATCCCTCCAGAGCCAGCAGCACCCTCAGCATTTCAAAACCTTGGCTTTGCAGTGGTGGGGCAAGAGCCTCGATGGGGCAGGGCTTCCCCCAGGGAGGAGGATTYGTGTCCATCTCAGTGGCTGCACATCCCCGTTTGTGCTGGTGTCAGCAGAGCCACCCCTCCTCTGTGTCCCAGTGGCACCAAACATCACCAAACAGCCCTGAGCTTTCATGGGAACAGCACCTGGTCCCTTCTGCACGTTTGGGACTCCCCTGTTTGTGGGGAGGGGACACAACTGCAACCCAGCAACATCCCTGCCACCACAGCTCAGATGACACGTGGCCAC